GTGAAACCAGAATGCTCCTTGGAGTGAAGGATTCTGAAGCTTTGTCTGACATACTTTGGACATGTTGTAAGGAGGGACAGGTCCTTGAAGAGGGACATCATGCTTGGGAGGGTGGAGGGATGGCGCAGAAGGGGAAGACCCTCTATGAGGTGAATTGATTCAGTGATTGGGGTAATCAGGATGGGTGTGTCAGAGGCAGTGAGATTGGCACAGGATAGAGCAGGGTTTAGAGCTGTTGACGGCACATAACAACAACAATTGATAATGAATAATGGCATAAATGAGTATTTAAACATATAGTAAGCAAAAATAATTGGGTTGATTAATTTTCTAATATGTCATCTTCCTTGTAATTTCAGTCCTGGTCTAATTTATACTTACCCATCTTCCTGTATCACTGGAACACCAGCATGCTTCTCTCATGTCCTGAAGCACCACTGTACCCAGTGGTGTCACTGAGTACCACCACGATACCCTCTTATCCTGAAGCACTAGTGACATCACCAACAGAAACTGAGCTGAAGATAAAGGAAATCATGAAGAAACTGGACCAGCTGATCCCTCCCAGACCTTTCCTCCACATGAACACCACCACCAGTGCATCACACAGCAGAGTCACCTTGCTCAGCCGTCGAGACACCTACTGCAAAGGGGAGCAGCTAGACCTCCTGCTGGAGATGAGGGACCACCTGGGACGCAGGAAGGAGTATGGTGGGGATTTCCTGAGGGCCAGGATGTCTTCGCCGGCCCTGAAGGCGGGGGCTTCAGGAGAGGTGACTGACTTCCACAATGGCACCTACCTTGTCCGCTTCACTTTGTTCTGGGAGGGCCAGGTGTCTCTGTCCCTGCTGCTCATCCACCCCAGTGAAGGGGTGTCAGCTCTCTGGAGGGCAAGGAACCAAGGGTATGACAGGGTCATTTTCACAGGTAAGTATGTCAATGGCACTGCTCATATCTTCACTGAATGTGGCCTCACTGCAAACACAAGTGCTGAACTGTGCCAGTACCTGGACTCTGAAAATGAAGAAGCCTTTTACTGCGTGAAACCTCAACACATGCCCTGTGGGGCCCTGACTCATATGACCACCAAGAACCGAGAAATTTCTTATCTTGCTGTCAAGGAAAAAAGTCTTTTCCAAAGGTAAATGTGTTTAAGGTACACTGAGAGGTGCTCCTGGGCAAAAGTATGCAGCCAATTTCAGTTAGTATTGAGCATGATTCTCTCATATGCTTCCTCTGCTCAAGATTCAGGCCATTCATGTGTCTTCATGACTCCCATTGCCAAGGTTTGCATCTTCACTGAGCTGATTAATAAAAGAAGGTTGCACAGGTGGGACTTTATAACATGTATACCTGAATGCCTAGTATCCCCAGATTCATTTCTTTTTAATAATAGACTTGAATTTTATAAAATAGGTTCATTGGAAAAATATTTTGCTGTGTACTAACACAAATGCTGCATCATAATAAGATACCTTGAACAATGTATGGTAGCATCCATGCTCCTTTATCCATGTCATATTTTATCAGTTCTGCCTCTTAGATATCTTTTGCATTCATATACTTCTCTCTATACCTACTGCCATCATCCATGTTCAGACAAACATCATCTTATTTGGTTACTTTTAAGAACCTCCCATCTTCATTTCACCACCCAAACACTACTTAATCCATTCTCTACACTGCAGCCTAAGACACTTCCCAGAAATTTGTTTCTATTGATCATCTCCATTTGATCTCAAGAGACATATTTCTCAGTAACTACTGCTTAGGTTGAAAAAATCATTCCATTTGCCAAGTTGTAGCCTCATGGTTTCTGGGAGGCCCATTATGTCTTAATTATCTAGTTCTGTCATAACAGAAATACCACACGTTAGAAAGGTTTTGTTTTTCTGAAAAATGAAACTGTATTTTAATTGTGATTTTAGTGAACGTTTACAGAGAAGTTAGATTTTCATTCATTGTTGTACATTTACCTCCCTTCCTTCCCATCCTCCTCCTCAAGTTCACTTTTTTTAAAAAATGTTCATCTATTGTTGGACAAAGGTTAGATAGTTTTGATGAATAAAAATATATTGTTTTCACAGGCCTGTAGGTTAATTCCAAATCAGTGTTTTGATCATGTTCATGCCTTCCTCATCAATAGTCCTGGGCATTCCTTGGTACTTTGGCTTATCCACAGTCTTCATGTGTCCCATGTTTTCTCCTTTATATGTGCCTTCTAGGTCTATTCTAGTCATGGTTTAAAACAGAACTGTTGGTTTTAGGATCCACCTTACACTAGTATCATCTCAAGTGATTGGTTAAATACATAGCATTATGGTAAGTGAATTATATTACATTACAAAATGTCTCATTTCATAAGACATTGTCCTTGGACAACTGATTTTATCATAGGTAACTACTTCATGCCAACAACTAGACCATTATAGAGTCAAATAACTGGAAATTATAGCCTAGTCAAATTGACACAAAATTAACCATCACAACCTGTATAAAGAGACCTTTACAAAGCAGTATGTAAGTATATCTCTACCATTTATGGTAACATCAACAGCATGCTTTTCTCCTCTTGCTTACAAATAGATGCTACTTTCTTTATAACCTTGCTCTTTGCCAAGGGAAGTCACCTCACTGCTGAGAATGAACTATCAGTCTCTTCATGAGTCACTTTGAGAATTGACAAAGGGTAACTCTCCTGTCTGTGGGTCTTTCGCTTGCCAGTCCTTGAAATGATGTCTTAGTTCCAGATTCTAAGTTCATTTGCCAACTTTCCACAAGCATCAGAGCTCAGTTCACTGCCTTTTCCCTTTCTGTTCTACCACCATCCATTTCCTTCTTTGGGATTCTCCTCTAAGCCTCCTGACAGAGCAGGATGCTACATTCTCAGTGTTTCCTTTTTCAGTAGTTTTGAAAGTCAAATGTATGATCTCCTGTCCTGTAGTGATTAAAAAGATGCTTAGTTGCTAAGAAGAAATAGAGTAGATAACAATCATGGGAGACTGCATGCATTTAAAAACCTTCGCAAATTTTGGTTCCCGATCATAGCCCTTCACTCTGCAGAAATCAGTAAAAATTAAAACAAAAAATCTGTCTCTTTCTCTTTATGTCTAATTGTGTGGCTCATCCCATCTCCTGGTATCTACTACCTCTCCTTACATTTAACTCTAGTAAGGATGAAAGACACAGTGATTCTTTCCCTCTTCTTGCTATTCATCCTGTAGATGCACCAAAACAAAAGATCAGAAACCACATACATACCTTTTGTACCTGGCACCTTGGTTCTGATTGCTCTTTAGCTCCTTTCTTCTTGCCTGGACTTAGCACAAACATGAACTCAGGTCAGAAAAAGAAAAAGAAAAAAAAAGTCAAAGAAAGGATAAGATATTTGAAGCAGTAAGAGTCAAGTAGTCTTTTATCAGTATAATATCAGTATGTATAATGTACATTTATTCATGCATCAACTTTCTTGGAAATTTTGAAGGTAAGTGTGATAGGAAACATGAGTAAAGAGAGCCCTGGGACTGAAGGATTTTCATGGCATGTGAAGAAGCTTGGCATCCTTAATAGGTAATGCAGCAACATTAAAGACTTCAGGGAATAGTGCAGTTGCATTTGCAGTCAGAAGGGATGCTCCAACAGTCACATTGAAGAATTTGACGTCACAAAACTAAAACAAGCTAGTCAGATGGAGGCTCACAATGATCCAAGACACACATAATATGAACTTGAATAGCAAACAGGGAAGCAGAAAGAAAAGAATCTAAATGCCGACCTACTAAATATATGGAGCATAAAATTCTAAGATGTGCTGTTTGAATGTAGCAGATGAGCAAAACTACCCTAAACTTCAGGTGCTCTCAGCAGAAAAGACAGTCTTTGAAAATCCTAATTTATTTGGAATGCCCAGTAGACCGAAATTTTACATCAACAATTACAGCTAAAAATAATTTTCTTTCCCAAGCAGGTGATTTATGTTATCTGTATTGTGTGGACAAAAAGAAGCTAATTAATCGCCCTATTTTTTTAAGGTCCAACGTGGGAGTTGAAATGATGAAAGGCTTTAAACACATTACTGTCTCCCGATGTAACAGTAAGTTGGCTCTGTCTTGTGGTCGGTATTGCTTGGCACAAGTCTTTTCAGGGACATTCTAACACAGAGGAATGTGTATCAGTATCAATCTAGTATAAATGTAGTTGTTCTAGAACTCAGTTGATACCAGTTGGGATAAATACTTTGGCTTTTAAAGAAAGAAAGAAAGAAATGTCAGCAAATAGTTTCGAACTTTGATTATGACAATTTCCAGGGCTTTTAACTAGTTCTTCCCAACTCAGACATGACTAATGGAGTAAGACCAGAATGGACCTGAATTTTTTAAATGAGGAAAAAATGACAAGTCAAAACTCTTCAGAAACTCTTAGTAAACAAGGGCAATGTGTACACTACAACCAAAATTCTTGAGTAACAGGGTTGGAAACAGCGGAGCCTCATTCATAGATGGCATTGCTCTCCACAGTCCTGGCAAGAATACAGTCACCAACAAGAAGCTCAAAAAAAGGCTCCTTCTCTTGTATTTCCCATTCCATGGCTTTCACCTATCAGTATTTCTGTTCTAGGTATTGTTTCGCTTCACTCAGATTTTAAAAATTCATGTCAGTCTGGATTTTGCTTTGTTGGCTATGATCTAACTAGTTTGAAAGCTTCTATATTTCATCTCAATTTACTCAAAGGGAAATTTTAATACCCTACATTCATATTTATTCCTGAGAGCTTGTTTCAAAGAGCCAATGATTCTGTCTGAGGAACTGGATAAAATATCTCTTAGTTGTTCATGGCTTTTTAGTAGAGACATTTTAGTTTTGGTTTTCCAATTGTCTGGTGGAAAGACCACCTCACTTTTAGTTGATGTTCTCAACAATTTTATATGGAGCTCCCGTTTTAAGGACTTGATTTATCAGGAAATAGAAAGCTATGTTATTTGTGCAAAAACACTATTTGCATTACTTTACGTTTACTTTCTGTATAGCCCACATTAGATGGCCAGTAACCTTTATCATGAGACTTATTTCAGCTCACAAATGACTTGTTCCTACTATTTATTCAGTAAATATTTATGAGAGCCAAATGGGTGTGAAAGATCATCAACAAATGGAGAAGAATAAATAGGCCACATGGCTGCTATCTGAAAGACTAGCAACCAAACAGCTCTATAAAGAAGGTCATAGGCGGGAGGATTTCAGTTAAAGTTAGTATTTGACTGTGTCCTGAATGATCTCTGTAGTGAAATAATGAGGTGAACAAAAAAAAGTTATAAAAATCATAAATAGGATTGCCAAATAACAGTAAATGAAAATACAAAATGCCTAGTTAAATTTTAATTTCTCACTGCTCTGTTACAAAATAGTTTCTGACTGCTCTATCTCAAAATAAAGCAGTGAGAAATTGAAATTTAACCTGATATTCTGTGCAAAAGGTCATTACAAAGACAGAGGAGGAAGAAAAATCTGAGATAGATGCCAAAAGGGACTCTGAATACTGCACTAGAGCACCAGGAAGCCAAAGCAAAGGGAAGAAATCAGGACGTTAAGGAATTGAACAGAAGATTTCCAAGGGCAGCTTCAGAAGACAAAGCAAAATATTGTAACAAAATGTGCACACAGTTGGAGTCAGACAATCAAAAAGGGTAAACTTGCTTAGCATTTCTCAAGCAGAAGGACTGAAGAATAAATTCAAGCCTCGAATTGCAATACTTGAAGATGCTGTGGGCAGAATATTGAATAATCCAGGAAGCATCAAAAGTAGATGGAAAGAGTACACACAGTCACTGTACCAAAAGAATTGGCTGATGACGAAGAATTTCTTGAAATAACATATGATTAAAAGACAGTGGTGATGAAGGAGGAAGTTCAAGCTGCTATGAAGGAATAGGCAAAAGAAAAGGCCCCAGATATTGATGGCATATCAATTGACATATTTCAACAAACAGATGCAGAACTGGACGTGCTCACCAGGTTATGTCAAGAAATCTGAAAGACAGCTACCTGGACAAATGACTGGAAGAGATCCATATGTATTTCTCATTCCCAAAAAGATGATCCAACACAATGTGAAAATTATTACACAATATCACTAATACTATACACTAGCAAAATCCTGCTTAAATTTTTGCAAAAACAACTGTAACAACAGATGTTCCTCAACATAGAACTGTCAGAAATACAAGCTGGGTTTAGAAGAGGCCATAGCATTAGGGACATCATAACCAACATTAGATGGATCTTGGCTGAAAGCAGAGAGTATCAGAGGAATATCTATCTATGTTTCATTGACTATGCAAAGACATTTAACTGTGTGGATCACAACAAATTGTGGCTAACCTTGAGAAGAATGTGAATCCCAGAACACTTGATTGTGCCTATGGGAAACATATTTGGACTAGGAAGCAGTCAGCGGAACAAAGCAAGGAAACACTGCATAGTTCAAAATCAGGAAAGGAGTGTGTGAGGGATGTGTTCTGTCTCTATACCTTTTCAATCTATATGTGGAACAAATCATTCAGGAGCCTGGACTTTATGAGAAGGAATAAGGCACCAGGATTGGAGGAAGACTTATCAACAGCCTACATTATGCAGATGACAAACCTTGCTTGCTGAAAATGCTTCAGGTGAAACATTTGCTACAGAAGGTCAAGGACTACAACTATAGATTGTCGCTCAACATCAAGAAACAAAATTTCTCACCACTGGCAAATTGGCAGTATTTGATAGATGGAAAAGATTGAGATTGTTAATAAATCTTGCTCAGATCCACATTTAACACTCTTAGCACCAGAAGTCAGGAAATCAAAAGATGAATTGCATTAGAAAAATCTGCTGTCAGGGTCCTCTCCAGAGTGCTAAAAAACAACGATGCCAGTCAAGAGACTAAGGTGCACTTGATCCAGGTCATAGTCTTCACAATTACTTGCGATTCATCAGAGAGCCGGACAGTGGCTAAGGGTGACAAAATAAGAACCAATGCTTTTGAGTTTTGGTGCTGGAGAAGAGTATTAAACATACCATAGTCTGCCAAGAGAACAAACAGCTGTGTCCTGGAGAGCGTGCAACCTGTTTGCTCTTTGGAGGCAAGGATCTTGAAACTCCATCTCATATACTTTGGGCAGATTGCCAGGACAGACCAGTCTTTGGAGAGGTATATCATGGTTGAGAGAGTGGAGAGACACAACAAGAAATGAAGACTCTGGATGAGACGAATTGACATAGTGACTCAGGTAATGAGGGCAGGTGTGTCATAGACAGTGAGATTGGCTCAAGATAGTGCAGGGTTTTGAGATATTGTTCATAGGATCACTATGAATGGAAGTCTACTCAATTGTACATAGCAACAACCCAACAACTGCTCTGGTGGCTTAGTGACAAGGAGTGGCACTACTAACTCAAAGTCTCATGGTTTGAATCCACCAGCTGCTCTATGGGAGAAAGATGGGCATTATCCTCCCTTGTGATTTACTGCCTCTGAAAACCCACTGCAAGGTCAGCTGAGTCAACTCAGACTCAATAGCACACAACACCACTAATACGTAGGTTAGTAGTTGAAATCCACCAGTGGGCACCAGAGCAGAAAGGCAGGAAATCTGCTCCAGTGAAGATTACAGTCAAGAAAATCCCATGGTAGGGAGCTCTGGTGGCCTAGTGGCAAGAAACTGAACTGAAATACTGAAGGCACGTGGTTTGCATACACCAGATGCTCCTCTGGGGAAGGAGGGGCAATCTCCTTCTGTGCCACTTGGATCGATTTGATGGAATACAACAAGAAACGGAAAAAAATAAAGAAGAGAAAACTCCATGGAACAGTTCTACTCTGATTGCCCTGAGTTAGAATTAACTTCAACTTTATATTAATGAGCTGTTTGGCTTTCTTTCTTTTTATGTGTGTAAGCATTGACAGAAAGAAAAATATATTACACATTATTTGGATAAAAACATTTTTGCTGTGCTTATGTACCTTCAAGTCAGAGCTAACTCTCCTGTGAGTTTTCAGAGGCAGTAAATCACATGAGAGCAGATCCCACCTTTCTTTCATGGAGCAGCTGGTAGATTCGAACAGTAAGCCCTTGGATCATCAGCACAGCTCTTTCTCATTAAGCCACCTGAGCTCCCCTATTGGAAATTAATTTGACGTGTTGTATTACTTGATGAACTAGTGCTGAGCAAAATTACAATGAACTGTACTCAAAACATAAGTGGGGAATGAGGTTTTAAAGGGAGGAAGAAGCTAAATCATAGATCTTCTCAAAGGTCATGCTGAGTATCTAATAGGCTTCGGAAAGCCACAGAAACCAACTAAGCAAGTCAATGATCTGATCCGCCCTTGTATTTTTAAAAATTGACTCACAATTCAACAAAATGTATATAAGTGACTGAAAGACAGTTTAAATTATTACTGTTCTTATTTTGTGCCCTTAAGTCAGAACTGACTCATAGCTGGTCCTCCAGTGGGTTTTCAGAAGCTATAAATCACACAAGAGGAAACTGCTCTTCTTTCTCCTGGCTTTTCAGTTGGCAGTGCAACTCCTTATTATGTCACCAGAGCTCCCCACATAGGAAGAAGATAAATAGAAAAATGTCTATATGAGGTGCCTTGAGTTTTTTGTTTTTAAAAATAATTTGCATGTCACCCTTGTGGAGGGGCCACGCTAATCTTCTCCGTATCGTTCTAATTTTAGTACATGTAATGCCGAAGTGAGCACAAGGTGACTTGATATTAAAGGATCCCAAATAAATTTGTATTCATTTCCTATTCCTACTATATCAAATTACCACAAACTTAAGTTGCTTAAGACAGAAAATTTACTTCTGCAGTTAAGTACCTTCTTTCACAGGTCTCACTGAGCTAAAAATCAAGGAATTAGCATGCCTGTATTCCTTCTTGAAACCTCTGAAGAAAATCTATTTCCTACTCTTTCCAAACTCAAACTCTCAAGACTGAGCAGGGTCCAAGGTAGAATCAGCTCTGTGGCTTTGTTAGCAACTGCCATCAAGACAGAATCAACTTGTAGCTGACTTACCAATGGGTTTCCAAGGCTGTAAATAACACAAAAGATTTTCCATCTTTCTGCAGCTTCTAGAAACCAAATTCAGCCCACTGGTATTGTACTGACCTTGACTCTGGCACCTTTCTTCAGGGCTCCAAGGCTATAAATCATTCTAGAGGTTATAAATCTTTTGCCCATCTTTTTCCCTTGGAGTGGCTGCCGGATTTGAACTACAAAGGTCAGCACCTTTGGGTTAGCAGCACAATATAAATGTTATGCCTCCAGAGCTTTTTCTAGCTTTTAAAGACTACTCATCTACCTCATAGTCTTCACAGTTGCATCAGAGAGCTGGAAAATAACTAGGTATGATAGAGAATTGATGCCTTTGAGCAGAGGTGCTAGAGAAGAGTGTTGAATATACCATGGACTGCCAGGAGAACAAACAGGTTCATCCTAGAGAGAGTGAAGCCAGGCTGCTCCTTGGAGGCAAGGATTCTGAGGCTTCATCTGACATACTTTGGGTATTTTGCAAGGAGAGGGACATCATGCTTGGAAGGGTGGAGGGACAGAGAAAGAGAGGGAGACCATCAATGAGATGGATTGAAACAGTGACTGAAGTAATGAGGGTAGGTGTGTCAAAGACAATAAGATTGGCACAGGGTAGAGTAGGTTTCAGGGCTGTTGTATATAGGGTTGCTATGAGTCATAAATGACTCAATGGCACATAACAACATCTACCTCATAACCCCCTTTCCTCTATCTTCAGAGCTAACTGCAATGGATTGAATCTTCATATCACATCTTTCTGACTCATTCTTCAAGCTTCTTGTTAGAAAATTATATTGGGCAAAGATAGATTATGCACTCACTCTGAGACTGTTATGCAAGGGAGAAATTAGTATATAATTTTTTTAAAACCATTGTTATTTTCAGCTTTCTAACAACATTCAGATTTGTTTCTTACGTAATGCAGAAGGTAGCACTGACAATAGAAGTCCTGTTGTAGCAAAGCCTAAAATACAAGGTGTTAGCTAGCTCAATAGTGGAGTAGTGGTATAGTGGGGAGAAAACATTTATGATGAGGAAATTTTACCATATCATGATGAAGCATTTTGTAAACTTGCGATATCTTGGATATCGGACCGTGTGTCAATAAAGACTGTGATTCCAGTGGAATTTGATGAAATATCTCATACTGTTGATTTGGATTGCTTGTTTCATGTCACTCTTAGAAAAGTACTATTAAAAGAATATTAACTCAAGTTAGGTATTTTAAACTCTAAAGTTTTTGAAATGTACACATTATGTTTTAAGGTTTTAAGAAAGAAAATTAAAAGTTACTTTCTAATGGAACAAAGGTGAAGAACTTAAAGCAAACACCATTAGCATCATTCAAATTAGATACTGCAGCCAGAGTTACCCCAGAAACAATAGGGATTGCAGAGAAATGATAGATCATGAAGATTTACCTAATAACTGGATGTAGGAAAAAGGAATAGTGAAGAGTCAGGATGATTAGAAAATTCGCAAAAGAATGAATAAAAATGTCTAAGGCAATGCTGATAATCAAAGAATAATTAGGAAGGAGAGGAAGTAGAAAATATGAGGTTATAGAAAGATTAAAAATGGGTAAGGCAAAGAAAAAAGGTTTAATGTTTTCAAGTAACTTCTATCAGTAAAATCACTTACCATAAGTATTTCTGTTAACAGAGAGTGAAGAGATAAAAGAAAAATGCCAGATTGGAATGAAGAGCCCAGTTCCTGGTGGTTATACTATAGGAGGAAAGTGGAACACAACATTTTGCAACCAGATGCCGTTAAATACAATGAAGGTGAATGACTGTTTGAAAGGAAAACTCATTTACCTCTTGGGAGACTCCACACTTCGGCAGTGGATCTACTACTTACCCAAAGTTGTAAAAAGTATGTAGTTTTAATTTTATATAATTTTATAAATTTGGGCAAGTTTTAAAGTTGTTGGAGGGGTTTGGTGAGTCAGTTACAGATGTTTACTATAATGAACTTCATACACAAGTTTGAGGAATGAATATTCATCAAGTCAATCATGATTGCTTAGGTTATAAAGACTTACCTAATTTGAAAACCTAGAGGAAATGGACAGATTCCTTAAAACTCATGCCCTGCCCATATTGACACGGACAGGAGTGAAGTAGTAACTAACGTTTGATTTGGTTTCTAGAAGCTGGATAAAGATGGAAAATCTTTTGTGTAACTTTCAACCTTACTCACTTGAACAGACCCATCACAAAAGGATAAATTGAAATGGTCATAAAGGACTTCCCCACAAAAAACGTCCTGAACCAGATGGTTTCATAGCTGAATTCTGCAAAATATTTAGAGGAAAATCTATCACCAATTCTACTTAAATTATTTTTAAAAAAACAGAAAAAGAAGGAACATTCCCAGAGTCATTCTATGAAGCAAGCATAACCCTAATACCAAAACCAGGCAAAGATATTGTCAAAAAAGGAAACTGCAGACCAGTATCTCTCATGAAAAAGACACAAAAATTCTTAACAAAATCCTGTCTCATAAACTCCAACAGAATATAAAAAAATTAATCTATCATGACCAACTGAGATTCATAATAATTATGCAAGGATGATTCAACATAAGAAAAACAATCAATGTAATTCATCACATTAACAAAGCAAATAAGAACCACATAATCGTAGCAATTCATGTAGAAAAGGTCTTTGACAAAATCCAACACCCCTTCCTGATTAAGCAGTCAACAAAATAGTAATAGAGAGGAATTTTCTTAACATAGGGAAAAGTATGCATGCAAAATTAAGAGTCAATATCATTTCAATGGAGAAAAACTAAAAGCATTCTCCTTGCAAACAGGGACCAGACAAGAATGTTCACTGACACCACTCCTATTCAGTATTGTATTTGAAGTACTTGCTAGGGCAATACAAGAAAAGGAAATTAAAGGCATCCCTATTGGCAAAGAGATGGTTAAACTTTCTCTATGTGCAGATGATGTCATAGTAAATACGGAAAACTCCAATGACTCAACAAAAAAACTGTTAAAGCTAGTAGATCAATTTAGTAGAGTCAGTATACAAGATCAATATACAAAAGTCAGTGGGATTCCTCTACAGTAACAGATTTCTCTACAGAAAACACAGATAAGAAAACTAAGAAAGTAGTACCATTTGTAATAATAGCCAACCACAAAATGAGATGTTGTTGTTGTTATGTGCCCTCGAGTTGCTTGTGACTCATAGTGACACTATGTACAACATCCCTAAACCCTGCTCTGTCCTGCCAAACGCACCATCTCCGACACACCCACCCCAATTACCCCAGTCACTGAATCAATCCACCTCATAGCGGGTCTTCCCCTCCACCCTCCCAAGCATGATGTTCCTCTCCAAAGATTGGTCCCTTCTTACAACATGTCCAAAGTATGTCAGACAAAGCTTCAGAATCCTTGCCTCCAAGGAGCAGCCTGGTTTCACCCTGTTGAGGACAAACCTGTTTATTCTCCTAGCAGTCCCTGCTATAGCCAATACTCTTCTCCAACACCACAGCTCAAAGGCATCATCCCTAGTGATTGTCCAGCTCTCTAATGAATAGCAAGTGATTGCAAAGACGGTGGCCTGTATCAAACATACCTGAGTCTCCAGAGTGACACCATTGCTCTTCTGTACTTTGGAGAGGTCCCTAACAGCTGACTTTCCCAATTTCCTGGCTTCTGGTGCCAAGAATGTTGATTGTGAAGCCAAGCAAACTAAAGCTGTGAACATATCAATCTCTTCAGCATCCATAATGATGCTGCTAATTGGTCCAGTGGTGAGAATGTTTGTCCTCTTGAAATTGAGCCTCAATCCATATTGAAGGCTACAGTCCTTGACACTCTGCAGCAAGCACTTCAGGTCCTCCTCAGTTTCAGCAAGCAGGGTTGTGTCACCTGCATAACGCAGATTGTTGATAGATCTTCCACCAATCCTGATGCCACACTTCTCCTCATAGAGCCCAGCCTCTCAGATAATTT